GAAAATTTTACTTTACAATTTATTACTTTTGGTCTGTTGTGGAAACAGGCTTAAGGGCCAATCACAACTGAAGTTTGAACAACTTACCCCGTACTCGGGGACTACCGTCCGAAAAATCGATGTAATCGAACTACTAAAATCTCGAGACCATAAGACCTTAAAAATGCAACCCTCGTTTTTATAGGTCACAACCACCCCACTCGGGGACTAACATTTCGAACAAGTTCGGAATGCAATTGAGAAGCAAGCAACAAAAAAAATAAACCCAGTATGTTCCCACTAGGTGGGGAAAATCTCAAGTTAAAAGGTACAACCAAACTAACACGGTTTGGAGACGTTCGAATTCCGTAATGAAAACAAGCCTTCTAATATCTTCACACCGGTTAAAAAGCCTACCCTCGGCAAAATTATAAAGGGTTTTCGATAATATCAACCCTCGAAAACCCTAAAAGGGCATCAAATTATTCGAACTCTTGAAACAACGTCATTTCTTGCTAAGGCATAACAATTTTTTATATGATTAACTTTTTTAAGCCAAAAAGGGAAAAGAGCCATTCTTTTGAGGCTATATCGGCCTAATTCAAGAGCCTAAGGGCCATTTTGTTTTTGAGTTCGAGAAGTCATCCTCACTCAACTAAAACCTAAGGGTCATCCTACTTCGAGTTCGAGCAAATACTCGCTTGATTATAAAGACTACACTAGTCCGACTTCGATCAAATTGCCCAAGCCTCATACTTATGAGACTTTTCGAGACATGGTCAAAACAGAATTTGTACGAGGCGGAAATTGAAATAAAGACAAATCAAATAGAAAAGAGATCTTTTATATATGAAAATATTTACATGGATCGGTTAGGATCCTACACAAAAAATTTGAAAAAGAAAAAATTCTAAGTGCCTAATTTTACTTGGTAGCTACACCTTCGCCACGGAATACCCTCCACCCTCGGATCAACTCACGCTCCTAGAATCATCATCATCGGAAGAGAGCAACATTTTGGCTTCGGCCTTGAGCTTTTTTGCATTCTCGGTCTAGACAACAAGGTTAAAGAAACGAGCATGAATCTCCTCAAGAGTCTCTCTTCGAGAATAGTACTTGGCATGCTCGGCAGCCCAGTATGCTCGAGTCTGAGCGGTATCAACAACTTCCTTTGCTCGAGCTTGAGCAGCTTCAGCATCAGCTCGGTAGACGGCCACAATCGCCTCCGCATCAACCTTTACTTTTTCTTCCTCAGATATAACTTTTACAAGTTTGGCATCCAACCAAGCCTCGAGCTCCTCAATTTTCTTGGCTTGGGCCGAGCTTTCCTCCTTCATGCTTTGGAGCTAACGTTCGGTCGATGACAGTTGGGCTCGGGCAACATCTTTCTCTGAGGCAAGGCAGTCCATGTTTTGTTTCTACCCCAAAGTCTTTGTCATCACCAATGTTGGCCTCCTCACGGGGTTGTTCGATCTTTTCGGCCTTCTACTGAACCTGCAGGATCGAAGTATTAGTCCTCGTCCCCGAATTGATACATCGAGCTTCTAAAAAATTTCATTACCTGCTCAATCAAGTCGGTTTGCTCTTTATGAGATGTGGCCAATTCGGCTCGGAGGTCCTTGATCTCCTCTTCTTTTTGACCGGTGAGAAGTTTAAGGGCATTTATTTCCTCCGTGAGCCTTTGAAGATCGGCCTCGCATCGGCTCATCTTTGCTCGGGATTTAGAAAACGCATCCCGATGAAGTGTCAAGGTCTATGTAGAAAGAAAGGAAATTAGACAAAAATAAATAAATACAAGTGAGATATCGATGAGGGGAGTTGAGATTTACCTGACTCAGGAGTCGTTGAGCCTCATCAAAGATACTCGATGCCTCATTCAGGTCGGTAGCATCTTCGGCTCCTGTTAAACAACCACGGAAAAGTTTCTCTCCCCCGTGGGCTTCTTCTACATCAGAGGTCCCCATGGCCTGGGCTTCCTGAATTTGCCCCTCAGAAAATTTAGGGAGGATTGGCGAATCGCCAATTTCTATTTCCCCAAACGAGTCACTTGGGGCATTCTCTTCATTTTGAAGGGCCTCGGAGCCAGCCCCTTCGGGCACACCCACCGATTGCGCGTTTCGGCAAGGGGAATCTTCATCCTCTGACGACTCAGGGACTTTGCTCGGGCCCTCTTCCGAGGTTTTCTCGGTTCGAGGTTGAATTTCTTCGACCCTCACCGGCTCAGCGGCCTTCGACGCTTTGGTGCTCCACATCGTTCAGGCCACCAGATCGAAGCCATCATCTTCATTTTACTCTTCTTCGTCTCTTAGTCGCTGAACTACATCCGCAGGCAGGACTGCGGTGTCTTTCTTTGACTTACGAGCCTTACTCTTCTTGGGCTTTGGAGTCTCGGAGGTTGAGACCCTTTTTCTCTTCTTATCCTTCGCCGGCTTCGGGGCCGGGGGTGAAACCTCCTTCTCCCCAAACGGGGGCCTCATGACAGCGTCTTTTCCATGGACTATATGAAAGGGTGTTGAGTAAGTATGAAAAGAAACATTTTAGCGAAAATCATTAAGTATGTTAAAAAGGACTTTCCATGATTTTTGGCCTCCCATTGGCCCCTTGTCAAATCGCGCCATGAGCGCTCAACATACGAGGAGGTCGAAGCTAGTTTCCGAACCCAGCTCTCGAGGTTAGGAATTTCACCAGACATCCAAGAGACCGCTACATCATAGAAAGTAATGTCGATGAGAAGAAGAAAAGGAAACAAAACAATAAATTGAAGCTAAAGGCAGGATTATACTTACGCTACATATTACACTCCTCGGGAAATGGCATTTTCTCGGCCGGGAATAGGTCCGGAGTCTTCACTCGAACGAACCTTCCCATCAACCCTTTCGATCCTTATCCTCATCTATACTTGAGAACAACACCTTGGTGGCTCGAAGTTGGAGTTTTATTAACCTGCCTCGAAAGAGACTGGGGTTGTACAACCTGATGAGGTGGTCGAGGGTGAAAGGCATCCCTTCGGCTTTGGTCGCGAAGAATTAGAGCAGAATGACAATCCGCCAAAAATAAGGATGGATCTGGCCGATGGTTATTTGATATTGGCGGCAAAAATCAATAATGATGGGATCAACATAGCCCAGGGTGAAAGGGTAAGTGTAAACACTTAGAAACCCTTCCACATAGGTAGTGATGTCTTCTTCGGGGGCCGGAATCACCACCTCTTTATCTTCTCAATGGTATTCTTACTTTACCTGCTTAAGGTCACTCTCAGTTATCGAGAATCAAGTACACACCCCTTCTCGGGAACACACTCCTCAGGGCGCGGCTCCACCAGTGTTTTGTCGCCGGCCGGCCGCGATGAAGAAACTTTTTCCTTTTGAGGAACGGTCTTTAACATTTTTGTCATTTTTGTATAAGTATAAAGAAAGTAGAAGAGAGTAAGGTGTGGTGTTTTGAGGGAAGGTTGATAACGAAAACTGGAGATTTTGAAGAAATAAAGAGCTTAAGAGATGTAAATAGCTTAAAGGATTAGAAAGAAGTGAAAGAAAAGATTGAATCAATGAGAGAAGGGGCATATTTAAGCGATTCATGGCGACGGTTCAAAGGCACTGGTGGCCGATGCTCATTAATGACTTTGGGAACTGTACCGATGGGACGTTTCAATCACTCCTGCCGCTTACGTCATGAAGATGACGTCATGAAAGGCCTGGGTATAAAATCGAAGCCTCAATTCATTTCTTCTCATTACATTCCAAGAAACGAGGGGAATGTGTATACGGTTAAAACCGGACCTACCCGATTTTACTATTTGATCGAGACCAAAAGTTGCATCGAGGGTCAGCCTCGTAGTGGAGCAGATCAATGTGAAGAAGATAAGGTGCCGAGTTCGAGAATCGAGGTGCCTGTCGAGATCGAGGCCAGCGATGATCAAGACCAAATATGGTAGACTTCGAGCAAAGCGCAATAACGGAAAGGCGGGATATTCGTGGCCGGTCGAAGATCACGGCGGAAATTCCAGAACAAATCAAATCAAGGGCGATTGTTCAGGCTTATCATGGGATTTACTTCTATAATTAGAATTGTACCATAAATAGGATTCTTCTACTATATAAGGAGGGGTTTGATCATTTTGTAAACACCTTACATTCAAGCATATCAAACCAATACGATACTTTCTTGCTTATATTCTTTTTCATCAGATTACTATATTTTTAATTATTCTTGCATCGATCAGTTCGAGGGTATTCAACTTGAGGGCTGAACTCCGTTCAAACACTGGTTTGCTTAATTTTATTGTTAATTTCTGCTACTAATTTTCGAATTCATTAATTGATATTAGGTGAAATCACGTGTCCTTAAAACCACATTATAAGTTTAACTGTTATCCAATTTTTAGGGTAAATAGACTTATTGTAAGATGATGCCCATCGAACCACAAAAAATCTGAGAAAATCTGAAGTTGAAAAACCCGACTATTATTGGTTTGGTTTGGTAAAGGAAAAAACCAAACCAACCCCACCTATATACGCCCCTACCCAGAAGTATATGTTGTTATTTTGAATTGCACCAAAAAATGGGTCAACAAATTTTAACTTAGTTTGCTATGTCTAACACATTTTAAGACAAAAAGGGAGCATAATTGCAGCAACATCCATTGCCATACTAATTAACGCTGGAAGCTCATGAACCCCCAACTCCAGCTGATTGCAGTAGCAGACACAGACCTAATAGCTGCTTTTATATCTGCCCAATGTCACGATTAATGTTTTAAACCCTCAACCGTGTAGGAACATGCAAGATTGGGATAGCCAAACTCATGTTTAGGATTGTTGTCGTTAGTGTAGTGTACTAAATTTCTTACAACCGTATGTGCTCTCTTTATTCTGTAATTGTTCATCAATCAAGCCCTGTGCAAATGATTGCCCAGATATTCCACTAATACCTAGTCGTTTGATTCAGATGCTAGTTAAATGGAGTAATTCTTTTTGTCACATGAGAGAACCATCTACTCTTGAGAAGTATGCTCAAGGATATGCCATTATGAAGCTGACTGTAGTAGATTCTTCTTCTTAGCTTACAACCGCCGTAGAATGATTCACAAACTTCCCTGTGAATACTAAATTCCTTGAAAAGCAATACTAGCAAACAGACAACACAAAATTTTATGTTACTACTTGAAGAAACAAAACTATACAAGAGTATATTTGAAAGTACAGCCAAAATCAAATGGAGAACAGCTAAAATTGGAAATTTTCCATGGACATGAAGTCTGCATTCGCGCTGCCATTTTGATCATGAAAAGATTCCATCTTTGAATCCAGTACTGCAAGTTGAGATTTTACCCATGTTGGATTATACCTGCCTTCTACCCACAATGCTTCACCTGTATCTTTGTGCTTGAAGTCTGGATAGTTTGGACTCCGCTGCGTAAGGAAATAATATCATTTAGTATTTCTTTCGTGTGCCGGATGTTAGTACTAGCAAAACAAAATAACATTGTGAAATCTAGTCAATCTTGAAATTTGAACACCCAAGTTCACATTTCGAACAATATTTTGATTTTTATTACTATATTAGATAGGTGCATAAAACATTCAGACTATCTTTTGCTTTTAGTTTGTCTTCCTTCCTCCTAAGCAAAAGTGCACTTTTTTTATCTCTAGAATTAGCACTAAATTTTACCAAAAAATAGGAGTTACACTAGATGAAGCATATGGCATTCAAAAGCTCAATTCTGCTACAAGCGTGTCACACGCATGCATAACACATGCACCAACAAAGACAAGTAAATAAGTGCAACTTGATTATGATGCAAGGAAACTAAGCCAAATTAGTGATGCTACCACAATTGACAACTTAATGATTTACTGGGGTACCTTGTTCTTCCTATTATCCCACCATTCCAGCGGATTAGCAAAGAAAGCTTGCCATAACTCCTCTGTGGATCCAGTGGTATTTGCGGGATAATTATTTTGCTTTCTACCTGCAAAGCCACAGGTAAAAATCTCTTTAAAATTTAACTCCAGAAGGATGTGTACACAGCTCTAGCAGTAACGAAGTATTTAGGTAAAGAAGTGTTATTTACTTGGTGCCATGGAATTAGAGTCCCCATTATACGAGGCAACAGAAGGAGAGGTCTTTTCAACAAAATTTAATTGCTGAACCACAACCTGCCAAAAGAGACCATAAAAGTTCACAGTCAATAAGAAAATGAACAAACGTGATGTTACCATAACACTAAAAGAAAAATTAAAATAAAGCTACCTTATAATATGTCTGCTGTTTCCCATCATCACCTTCAACTGTATCTGAGATTAGGCGACCAGAGACATAAATCTGGTGTCCTTTCTCTACATGCTGATTGGCAACACTAGCCAACTCATCCCAAAATGTCAAATTAACCCTGAAACCACAAAAATAGACTACTGCTGTAACTATCTGATAATAAACCAAGATCTGAAATTTCTGCTATTGGCCATTTAAACAGGATAAAGAAGATAGAAAGGGAGGATTGCTATTTCAAGCAGAGTAAGCTTCATCACTACTTAACCTCTCTTTTACTCATTAAGAAGCATCAGTAGGAAAACAAGAACAATGAAATAAAACTTTTATGTAGAAATAATCCAGGTTAAACTCAAATTCACTCGAAAAGAACATGACTGAGTCCTCAAAGAAGATATTAATTCGGAGGACAAACACAGCTGTAAACCTCACAGTGCAAGATAAATAGACTAGTCATTGCCCTAGTGAAAAAAATGAAAGCCCGAGGCAAGGAGTAACGCAAAACCAAATGGCCACTTTCAGGTACTTAGTCCTAAAAGTAAAAGGATGTCACTTCCATAGAGTTACAAAAGGCATCAAAAAGATTGTTGGTTTCACACTACTTCTGCTTCAAATAAAATGATCGTCCAAACTCAAAAGCCTGGAGGCATTTCTAAGAATGCAAATGGATTTGGACAAGGAAATCTCAAAATTAGAGCTTGCTTCAGCGACTATTTTACAGAAGTGCACCTAGTTCATGCCCTAGAGTAAATTTTAGTTTTAGAAATATTGCTAGTCCTGCAGTCGAGCTAAAAATTGGTACCAGGAACCTCATGATTACTGACATTCTGACTATATGGTATGGAGAACTCAGAGACTGTCCAGCTGAGGAAGAGGAATAAAAGTAGATTCGTGAACATTAGGATACGTGGATTTCTTACAGCAGAGATAGCTTTCATGAGTCAATGGATTTAACAAGCAGTTTATGGTCATGGATTTTGCAACCTTGTATCTTGAAGTAGGTAAAAGAAAAAGCCAAATTCATTACAGTTGAAAACGTGAATAATTTCGCCTTCTGGAGAACATATTTTTATTACTTAATTATGTCTTCAACACGCCCTTTCATGTGCAAGCTTAATTCTTTTTCATGGCATTGCTTGTTAAAGTGTGTGACTGTCATCTAAAAGTTTAAACTGCTATAGAGAGCACAGTTATATTACTTATGTCTTCACACGCTCGCTCACGTGCGAGCATAATTGTTTTTCACGGGCCAAAGACCTGAGAATTCTTTTTGATAAAGGGTGCCGTGAAACCTGCTTGCTCGATGCCAATGTTGAAGTGTGTGACCATCTCATCTAAAAGTTTAAGTTGTCCGAAAGTGCATACTTATTACTTAATTATGTCTTCAACATTGCCAATTATCTTTTTCAGTTTTGAGCAGTCAGATTACGGATGGCCATATCCTCATGGTGCCAACAGTAGATTGCAGTGGTAATGATTTAATACATAAAGATTTCAAGCTATGACGGCTTCAAAATAATCCATTTAACCCCACAAAATTATAACAGCAGATTGGAAAATGTTAAAGTTTTCAAAAAGGACAAACACAAAAAAGAACAAAAAATGCTATGAATTAGGTGTCGTTTGGTTTACCAAGTAGTGTCGTTTTGAGACTTCCTGACAGCGAGGCGAGTCCAAGCTACTACCTTTCCGGAATTCAAATGCTTAATTTGGACAGGCGCTGCTACGTTGCCAATGAGTTGCACCGAATTACAAAGTTCCTTGTTCCACTGTATTTCCGAAGGTCGTGGGTATTGAGTACGCCCAGCGAATCTTTCATACTCATATACATGAACGTCACTGTTTCCATTGCGATTGTAGTCGAATGAGCACCTTATGCTGCCACGTTCTGCAAGTTCCGTTTGCCTTGATGCTTTCTTCAACGGCGAAAAAAGGCGAAAAGACAAAGATTTTGCAGGGATGTGAGTTCTAGTAAAGGGGCTTCGAGGAGTTGAAGAGAAGAAGTTGTTTGTTAATGCAATTGTTTGTTCTAACGCCATTATCGCAGTATTTTCTTTCGCTTCCTTCGTAGGTTCTGTGCGCGACAAAAGGATGGAGAGAAACCCGGCGTGCACTTATCTTATCGTATGTTCTTCTTTCTAACTTCGAAATGCCTCAATCCCAGGCCTGCCGATATAAAAGTCCACATATAGCTTTTATTACTTGCTCTTTACGAACTAGCCAAACATTTACCATATAATTAAATATAATAATTTTGGGATTAGATGTGAACACTCTGTATCGATCATCGTTACCCGTCGTTTTATAATGTATTGTATTGTATTGTATTGTTTTATGAATACAATATTTGAATAGATTGTATCGTTTGCTGTTGTTAAATAATATTTTGTTGTTTGGTTTATTGTATCGTACTGTAGTATAATCGATAATTTCTCTAAAATACCCCTAATTGTTTTTAATAAAATTTATCAAGAATTACACATAAAAATAATTTAAGACAACCTCTTTCTAGTAATTTATCATTAATTACGTAGTTTGGAAATAAGAGCAAAAACCTGGAAAAAAAAAGGTTAATTAATATTAGCAAAAATAAATAAATTAAAACAATGGAAAGAGATAAAGAATCAAACGGAGAGTTGGATAAAAAGAACGGGGCAAATCAACTCTAGAAAAGATGGAAGAAGACAAAGTAGGTCAATAGGTTGGAGATTTGAAGTTAAAATTAAAAAAAATTAAATGATAAAATAGAATTTAGAGTTATATGTAAGGGCATAATTGGAAAAGAAAATAGGAAACGATCTCACCACACCAAATCAGTTATTTCATAAAATGGAGCTTTTGGTTGTTCCGGAACAATGGATTTAGCAATATGATACAATCAATTTTAAATAAATAATCAAAACAAACATTGTTTTGGGATAACAAATACAATACGATACAATGGGTAACAACCATCCAAACAAGCTGGAAATTATTTTATCCTACGATTGATCAAATTTTTAAATATGGGATTAACAATCTCAGAATTAATTAATTCCAAAATTAAATATTATTTTATCCCGTATTGAGGGTGGTAAGGTTGCATACAATAGACCCTTGTGGTCCGACCCTTCCCCGGACCTCGTGCATAGCAAGAGTTTGGTGTATTGGGTTGTCCTTTTTTATTAAGGGTGGATAATAATCCTTGGATCAATTAATCCCGATATAAATACTAAAATAACAAAGATGCCCTTTCTAAGGCTCTTCCCCCAAACTCTTTTAAATAATTCAAGCTTAAAATTAAAAATAAAAATTTATCTCGACTTATCTAGTGACTTGCATACACCAAATACATATTTATTTTAGATCTCGTAAATATCCTATTTTTAATCCAATGAACCAAATATTTTCCAATAAAAATATATTCTCTAAATAATCTTGTCATTAATTAATTTTCGTATTATAATATATATCTATATATTATTAAAAGGAGATGAATAAGCCTCCACATCAAGCCAAGTGGAAATCTGTCATGACTCTGGTTCGCCCTCCGTGTACCATCGTGACGGCACCTAGTCTCTACGACTAGGTAAGCCTAAAATGCAAAAGATAAACCAATTTGCGGAAGAATACAATTTAAAACAGAAATAATGTAATAAAACAGCGTTTTAAAAGTGTCGCTAGGCATACAAAATATAACTCTCAAATCCAATATATATACCTCTACTAAAACCCGAAAACTCATAAATCACAAGCTAAGAGATACATAAGAAGCTCTAACTCCAGAAATGTCTAACCAAAAGGGGAATACTGAAGGGCTATACTATTACAGAAAGATAGAAAGGGACTCCCCGGTCTGTGGACGCGGCAGATATAACTCGAAGTCTCTACAGAAGCGCCTCGCCTCAAGGATGATAAGACAAAGTGAAAGTACTTGGATTTGCACATGAAAAACATACGCAGAAGGGGCATGAGTATACCACAGCGGTACTCAGTAAGTGTCAAGCCTAACCTCAGTCGAGTACTGACGAGGAAGGTCAGGGCCCTACTGCGGTTAAATAAAATACAAAGTATAACAGTGTAGAACAAGACAGTATAATTCAGTGCAATTGTAAGAAATAACATAAAATAGAAAAAGCAACAACAACTAGAACAGAGGCAAAGTAATCACCGAGGGAACACAGCTCAACACAGAGATAGCAACCGGGGATCTACCAGGATACCGTCCTGTAGCCCCAAAATGTAAATGTCCAGTGGATCTCTCGGGTGTCGTCCCGTAGTCCAACTCATAGTGCACCGGGAATCACCGAAATCCCGTTCCGTAGTCCCCAAATGTAAATACCTAGTATTGGGGGAATCTACCGGGTGGAGTCCCGTAGTTCCATATAACTGTGCAGGGGGATCTACCGGAATCCCACATCCGTAGTCCCAAATAAATAGACAAGGGGGATCTATCGGAATCCCACATCCGTAGTCCCAAATAAACAGGCAAGGGGGGATCTACCGGAATCCCACATCCGTAGTCCCAAATAAACAGGCAAGGGGGGATCTACCGGAATCCCACATCCATAGTCCCAATGTAAATACACAACAACATCAGGAAAAATATTCAGAAATGGCAATTTCATATTAAGGCAAACAAGTAATTCTAGCCTAGCATGCAGCAAAGAATTCAGGTAAGGTAGTTTGAGCAAGTAAAGCAATTAAGTCACTTAGACATGCTTTCCTAAGNACAAAATCAACCCGAAACCACGCTTTTGCCACGAGTACTCGACTCCAAATGGCCCAAATCTATCCAATTCAATTGCATAATGTAAATAACACTTCAAGTAACTGATTCTACAAAGAAATTCAAAGCTAATATGCGAAATTAGGTAAAATGGCCAAAATGCCCCTCGGGCCAACGTCTCAGAATAGGGTAAAATTTATATTTTCAGAATTCTCATACTCTCACGAGTATAACCATACAAAAATTATCCAAATCTGATGTCAAATCCCTAATCAAAACTCAAATTTTTGGTCTAAGAACTTTCCCCAAATTTTCATATAAATTCCGAAATTTAATGATGAATTCATGTTTAGATTAATGAGTTACAAGCAAAAGGAGTTAAGAATCATTACCCAAACGATATCTCTGAATATCTGTCAAAACCTCGCTCAAATCCGAGCTCCCAAGCTTAAGTTTTCTGAAAATGGCTAAACCCTCGATTTGAAATTTTTATATTCTGCCCAACTTTTCCCTTAATCGCGATCGCGGAAGTCCAGATGCGATCGCGAAGAGAAAAGACCACGCGCCTCAAATTTACTCTATGCGAATGCGGAACCCCGTCCGCGAACACGATGCTTATCTCCCTCAGACCTACGCGATCGCGGTTGGCTTCACGCGACCACGTAGAGAAGCACTTAAAATCCACTGCCGCCTTATTTCTTCTACGCAAACGCGGCCTAGTCCACGCGTTCGCGATTCGGCACTGCCCAAAGCTATGCGTTTTCATTCCTCTTCATGCGAACGTGAAGAGAAAAATTTCCCTCTGCCTCATCTAAGCCTTCGCGATCGCGATCCTCCTTACGCGATCGCGATGAAGAAAAGTTTGCAACACATACCAGCAAAATCTAATCCTTCTCCAAGTCCAAAAATGGTCCGTTGAGCATCCGAAACATACCCGAGGCCCCCGGGACCTCAACCAAACCTACCAATATATCCCATAACTTCATTCAAACTTGTTCCAATCTTCAGAATGCTCAAAACAACATCAAAACATCTATATTTCATCGGATTCAAGCCTAAGAATTCCAAAAACTCTAAAAATATGCTTTCGATCAAAATGTCTATCAAACCTCGTCCGAATGACCTGAAATTTTGCACACATGTCACATTAAACACTATGGAGCTACTCCAACTCCCGGAATTCCATTCCGACCCTCGGATCAAGATCTCACTATCAAACCGGAAACTTCAAAAATTCAACTTTCGGTATTTCAAGCCTAAATTTGCTACAGACCTCCAAAACACAATCCAAACACGCCCCTAAGCCCGAAATCACCCAACAGAGCTAACAGAATCATCAGATTTCCATTTCGAGGCCGTCTTCACACTTTTTCGACTACGGTCAACTTTCTAACACTTAAGCTCTCATTTAGGGACTAAGTGTCTCAAAACTCTCCGAAACTCATAACCGAACATCCCGAAAAATCAAAATAGCAGAAATAAACTTGGGGAAAGCAATTAATGGGGGATCGGGGCATTAATTCTTAAGACGACCGGCTGGGTCGTCACATCCTCCAACACTTAGACATTCGTTCGTCCTTGAATGAGCATAGAGACATACCTGAAGTAGTGAAAAGGTGAGGGTAATGACTGCGCATATCCTGCTCGGTCTCCCAGGTCGCCTCCTCAACCGGCTGACCCCGAGATTGAACCTTTACCGATGCAATGTTCTTTGACCTCAGCTCTCTAACCTGCCTGTCCAATATTGTCACTGACTCCTCAACATAAGATAGATCCTTGTCCAATTGGACTGAACTAAAATCCAATACGTATGACTGGTGACTGTGATACCTCCGGAGCATCAAAACATGAAATACCGGATGAACTCCTGCCAAGCTGGGAGGTAAGGCAAGCTCATAAGAAACCTCCCCAACATGCCTCATTATCTCAAAAGGGCCAATAAACCTCGGACTCAACTTTCTTTTCTTCCTAAATCTCATAACGCCCTTCATAGCGAAACCCGAAGCAGAACCCGTTCTCCAACCATATAAGAAACATCATGAACCTTCCGATTCGCATAACTCTTCTATCTGGACTGGGCTGTACAGAGTCTATCCTGAATCACCTTGACCTTCTCCAAAGCATCCTGAACCAAGTCTGTACCCAATAATTTGGCCTCACCTGGCTCAAACCAACCCACCAAGGATCTACATCGTCTACCATATAAAGCCTCATACGGTGCCGTCTGAATGCTGGACTGATAGGTATTGTTGTAAGCAAACTCTGCCAATGGCAAGAACTGATCCTGACACCCTCCAAACTCAATCACATACGCACAGAGCATATCCTCAAGAATCTAAATAGTGCACTCAGACTGTCCGTCCGTCTGAGGGTGAAATATTGTACTCAACTCCACCCAAGTACCCAACTCATGCTGAACGACCCTCTAGAATTGTGATGTGAACTGAGTACCTCTATCT